CCCGTGAGCCGTGCGAAAGCGTTGTCAGAGTGTCTTGTGTACGAAGGTTTGCAGGTGCCCGAAAGATGAAGTGGGCTAAGAGAGGGAAGATCGGCCATAGCCGATAGACAGTTAGTCGTAGGAGAGAGATGACAGCCATAGCTGCCATGTCAGCAAGTGTGAGAGTTAGTGTGTGTGTTAGTGTGTGCGGGACATCAAGGGTAGATCCAGATAGTGAGTGAGTGTGTGTGCATGTGTGTGTAAGTAGCTAGGGATACAACGACCGGGGAAGAAACTTTGTTGGTGCAGTGCGCCATAGCCATTGCCAAGTGCAGCTGAATCCGACTGTGTTCCTGGCTGAGTTCTTATCTCTGAGTTTTGTGTGGGTGCCATATGTGTATCTGTTTGCATGCAAACAGCCTCGAAGAAAGGTAGTCTGATTGCATTGGTATCGGAGCTGGTTCCCGCTGTTCCGTACCGCCGTCGTCGTTGCCGTGCGAAGGAGGTTGCTATCGCCAGCTCATCGTCATCATCATCATCGTTATCTGTTATTGTCGTTGAGGAGGGGGCCACATCAGTGTGATCGGGCGCCAAGGAGGAGAGAGAGAGGGGTGCTCCGTGCCTAATGGCTGATTACCCCGTGCGCCTGCCACGTGCGCGTTGTCGCTCACGGGCAAGATTGCGCGTTTTCCTGAGCTAGTTAGTCGCGCGCGCGCTGCCCGTTATCGCGCACGTTCTCGTTGCTTGCCGCGCACTGTTGTAAGCCGCGCGCTCGCTGCCCGTCATCGTGCGCCCCGCTGCCAAGCCGCGTGCACGTTCCTGCCAAACACCACGTGTGCCGCTGCTAGATGGTGCACCAGTTTCCCGCGCGCCCGCTACTGCCAGTTTGCGCGCAAGTTTCTCGCGCTTGCACCTGCACGCGCTATCGCCCCGTGCCCCGCGAGCTATCGCGCACGTTCCCGCTGTTTGCTGCGCGCCAGTTAGCCGCGTGCTCGTTGTTATTTAGTGCGCACTGTTGTCGTGCACGCTATTCGGTAGTTGCGCGCCATCATCGTGCCCCGCCGTTGTGCCATCGCGCGACATCGTGCCCACTGGATTGTACAACCACCACCTAACGAGAGGGAAGAAGGCACGCAGCGGTTACGTTGAAGAAGACCGTTGTACCTGCAAAGAACAAGACGACGATGAACGGAAGAGAGAGAGAGAGAGAGAGAGAGAGAGAGAGAGAGAGAG